CAGCCTAAAAGAATTTTTAAAGTGTTTATAACTTTAAATAGACTGTTTTGACTAATAGATAAGTCCAATAAAATAGGTTCTAAAATAAAAACTTTATGATAACTCAATGTAACCCAAATCGAAAATAAGACCTCTCCTCCTTGTCTTAAATATATTATATCATATCAACAAATTATTTAGAAAATCATATCATAGGGTATAATATATGATCCAATCGATGGCAGACCCACGTCGAAGAGAAACAACACTGGCCTCCTCCCCCCCCCCCAAAAAAAAATTTGAAAGCTCATAGTAGTCCTACGTGTTTTAGTTTGTCACATTTGTGCCCCTTTAAGAAATTAATTTCCTTCCTTTTTTTCTTTTCCTAGCTCCTTAAGTTTTGTCATCTCAATAGGCATTTAAATACCATGTGAGTTTATCTTTGACATAAAATTACTATCAATCTTGAGATTATTTTTTAGCTCTAATACATTTAATTTGACAGAAATTGTAAATAATGAACTTTAACATAGTCATAATTCTGATAAAATTTTCTCTCTATACATATTTTTAACAGAAATGAAGCTTTTGTTTTTGAAGCATGAACATGTTTTCCAATTAATGACTCAAATTTCCACCACCAACCTTAACACCTTACATCAACAAAGCATCAGAAAACAAAACATAAGAAACAACAACAAATTAAAACAAGAAATTTCGTAAAACAGTTTCTTTCAAATTGAAAAATGGAACCGGTGAAGGAAGATTGAAGAAGTGTACAGCTGGAGAGTGAGATGAAGTTACCGCCTTTAAAACCAAAGGTGCCAGTAGCAGAGCTCGAGAGAGAAGGAGAGGCAGAGGCCCTACTAACCGAAAATCAAGGAGCCCAGCTTTGGTGATTCTACCACCGTGCTTTTTGGGGGGGACACAACTTTTGCAAGCACAGGAAATAGCTCCAGTTGCTGTCCTTTCTAGCCAGCCACCATTCAGCTTTGTTTCACCATCAGAGTGAGGCAAAAACAAAGAGAAACGGAGAAGAAATATGAGTTTTTGAGTCTGTGAACAGTACATCATCAAATCGTGATCTGGAGCTTGTTTGCCGTCCGATCCTTCTGATTTTTTGATATGTTGTTCACAAGACACAACTCTACATTCTGAACGGTGGAGATTGAAATCCAAACATTGTAAGGCAGTCAATTGTGTGTAAACCCGAAACTGCAGTTTTCTTGTCCTTTGGGATTATTCTCTCCATAATTTGTGATTTTTGTTCCTGTTTTTGCTGAGATTGACACATTTCTGTTGTTCAAGCACTATTGGAAGAGCTGCCTGCAAATTTCTGACCAACCTGCCATGTACAGATGTCAAACCACTAGATGTTTAAGCAGTCCAAACAAATCTTAAAACAATTTAAATATCACCAATTCACAATGAAGAAAGAATCAAGCTTTTTATCCACTTTCAAAGCATCAAATTCACAATGAAGGAAAGCTAAAGCAGAACAATAAAGCTAAAAATAACCTGACCTCAACACAGGGAACTTGGGCCGAAATAATGCCTAAAAAACTACATACAACAATAGTAAAGAGCCCTTATTCTGGAGATTTTATTGAAGTTTGATCTGAATCCTTGTCAAAACTCTGAATATACTGTAAATATAAATCACAAAATGTCAAAAATGGAAATAGTGACTGCAGGGACTGTTATTTTGAACTGTAATTTGATGATAGTTAATTGAAGAAAAAGAAATTTTTTTCATGATCATGATGTTTTATGGTAGTGTATATATCAAGGTTGCCTCCGTCGGAACTTCACGTCACTATTAAATTCAAAAAATTGTAGCTTTTGTCTACTCACGAGTTCTTGACCTTTTATGGTAGTGATCTAGCGACAGTGACTATAAGTATATATTTAAAAAAAATATATTATTGAGTATTCAAGTGTTTACGGGAATAAGAAAATCCAGATAAAATAATTATTCTCTGATTACTTACCACTTTCTTGTGAAGATGTTGTACAGTAGTGTTAAGGTCACCCTCCCAACACTTTTCATTGTCATACCAAATCTGCTTTCCTTTGTCTTAGTTTGGTGTGCATAAGATTCCTCTAGAGAATGTGCTCATATTGGGGCATTCATCCACATTTAAGTATTCATCTAGAATGGACACTCGTTCATAGTTTAAACTAAAAAAATTGGCCTAAATTGTTTATAGACGTCCGTCCTCTTAGGAGAACGACTGTTCATAGTTATGGACAGTCATCCTCATAAGGGGACAGGCGTCCATCTTTTGCAGTTCATAAATGAAAAAAAAAATTGTTTGAGAGTGGACGACAGTCCACTCATTTGGATGGCCATCCATTGTATATGGACGGCCATCCTCATTTGATGGACTGGCGTCCATACTTAAAATCAAAGTTTTTTTTTTTCTTTCATTTCATCTAAAAATTTTATGTTTTAGGAATGAATATTTCATCTAAAATTATATGGACGGTCGTCCATAGTAAGACATCCATCTAAAAGGGATGCATGTCCATTGAATGTAAAATTTTTTAAAATTGTTTGGACGGGCGTCCATCTTATATGGACGTCGGTCCATAGTAAATAGACACCCGTCCATATAAGATGGACGGATGTCCATTATTTTTCTTTTAAAATTTTTTGGATGAGCGTCCATATAATATGAACCGGAGTCCACTAAATATGGGCGAACGTCCATAAATGTTGGACGATCGTTCATTCACGAAAGATTCTAGCGTGATCGCGTCTGATTGGTTGCCATGTCCTTCGGTACAAAAATTCTGTGTAAAATTTCGGTGTTCGTAGCATTACTCGTAGCATAAAGGATTAGAGGGGAAATTAAGCCATATTTTTGTAGTTAACAAAATGCTAAATTAACAAACTTACCAAAGTGAAGGAAATAGATGAAAAGATGATGACTTTTATATGACCCAGGCAGGTTTCTGCAATGTAAACCGCAACAATTCTCAGACATCCTGATAGTCCCTCCTGAATGTTCGTCAATACTGCAGTTTTCATGATATGATAATCAGTTGTCTCGGTGAAGTATGTGATGAAAAGACCCACTACAACATACTCTACCAAGTTGTAGAAGGACACCAAGACTGGAAATTAAAATAACCATCAGTGCCTTAGAATAGAGGGTGTGTAATCAAATTAATAATCTGCCAAAACACTTTTTTTGGGTAAAAGGTAATTTACAAAGAATGAAAAAATGAGTCCTTAAAAGACGACCACTACAGAGTCAAGGTCCTTGAACAGGCCCAAGGAAGCTAGCAAAACAAAACAAGAGGAAAGGCACGGATTTACAATCCAAAAGCAGCCACCTAACAAGCCTCAAAGAGGTCTATACAAAATGACCAGCAGAACAAAATGCTGGACTTGCTCAATCTGTACAAAGAAAACAGCCACCAAAAAGCCAAAACCTAACACCACACCACAACTGCAAGAACCCAATCCACCAAAATGCACAAGCATAAAGTCCAGAAAAAAAGGACTCATGATGGAGGCATCCATAACCTGAACCAAAAAAACTATGTAAACGCAAAGAAACCAAGAAACTACTGTGCAAAAAGGAACTCTTCAGCTGAGAAAAAGGCAACCCCACCAACAAAAAAACCAGACCAGCCAACAAGCAGAGCAAAGCAGCAGCGCCAAAAAGTCCAGACAGGCAACCAACCGATCTGAACAAACCACCAAACCAACAAAGGCAAATGACCAGGCACCCAACCAAAAAAGGAAGTCCAAACCAGATCAGACAAAAACCCAGGGTCTGCACTAACCAACAAGTAGAGCAGTCCCCTGGACAATTCCTCCAACAAGATTGCACAAACATAAGCCAATGAAACCCCAATTCTCCATGAGCATAAAAAAAAACACCCAACAAAAACCAAATAAGCACCTTCTTGGGACAGCCAAAAACCCAAAAAGGAGGAAACAAAAGGCTATCAACCAACACATCAAGTCAAGGGGATCGAGACTTGATACAACTCACCGGTAACTCCCATTCAACTGCCAATGCGCTTTCTACTACAACAAATATAATTAAGCTTCAGTGTATCAACAAGGCGTTGGATAAATCCAATGGTGGGTGCAGCAAGTGTGGTAGTTAAGCCTAGGATCCCACAACAGAATTGCTAAACGAACTTACCAAAGTGAAGATTTGAAACGAAGATGGTAGCTATGTGACGGAGGCGGCACTCTGAAATGTAAACCACAGCAGTTCCCAGACACTTTGAGAGTCAATCCTGAATCCTGAATGTTCACTAGTACCGCAGCTTTCCTGATATTATATCTACTTTTATTGGTGAAGTATGTGATCATAAGACGCACTACAGCCAAGTCTACCAATGTGTGGGCAAACAGCACGACGGGAAACTAAAATAACTATTAGAGCCTTACGTAGTGGGTGTCTAATCAAATAATCCGCCAATACAAATGCAAAAGGCTCGTGACAAGGCGTTGTATAAAGCTTTATAAGAAAAATTTTGCATCAGTCCAGTCAAAATTTAAAAGCATCTTGACATTTATTAATTTAGTGGTTTGAAGAAAATCCAGTCTGAACAGGAATCTTCAATCCCTCCATTAATCTCTCTTTCTTTTTGTGCAACAAATTTGCAATACACTTTCTTTCTCGATAAACAAATCCACTCGTTAAGAGAAACTACAAGAAGCATTGGAATACGAGCTTCAGTCTTGCAAAATCCATTGAGTACTTTATCTGATCTCAACATTGGCCTTCTAAAACATAACAAACAAAAGTAAATAAAAACAAGAAATTTCGTTAAATAGTTTGCTTTCAAATTGAACAATGGCACCGGTGAAGGAAAATTGAAGAAGTGTACAGCTGGAGAGGGAGATGAAGTTACCACCTTTAAAACCAAAGGTGCCAGTAGCAGAGCTCGAGAGAGAAGGAGAGGCAGAGGCCCTACTAACCGAAGATTAAGGAGCCCAGCTTTGGTGATTCTACCACCGTGCTGTTTTTTTTTTGGGGGGACATCAACTTTTGCAAGCCCGGGAAGTGGCACTTCTAGTGGCACAACGTCAGTAGCAACTGGTGTTGGGTTGGGCTTACCTCATTCTCTCCCATATGGAGGTGAGTAGTCCAACAAATTAGGCCCAAAACAACTCCATCTTATCTTCATCTTCTTCATTGTCCAGCAGCCAAAAACGTGAGAGAGTGAGTGTTCTCCTCCAGTGGCTGTCCTTTCTAGCCAGCCATCATCCAGAGAGTGAGGCAAAAACAAAGAGAAACGGAGAAGAAATATGAGATTTGAGTCTGTGAACAGTGTATCATCAAATCGTGATCTGGAGTTCGTTTGCCGTCCGATCGTTCTGATTTTTGGATATGTTGTTCATGAGACACAACTCTACATTCTGAACGGTGGAGATTGGAACCAAGCATCGCAAGGCAGTCAATTGTGGGTAAACCCGAAACTGCAGTTTTTATGTCTTTTGCGATTATTCTTTCCATAACTTAACCCCTGCACCACAAAGTATTAACACAAAATTTTGTTAGGGTTTTGGATAAGACCACCAAATTACGAAGCAGCAGGATACTTTCTTTGTCCATAAAGTATAAAATGCATTTAACTAAAAGCTCAACTTCTTTGTGTTTTGGGCAGACACACTTCTGTTGTTCAAGCACTATTGGAAGAGCTGCCTGGAAATTTCTGACCAACCTGCCATGTACAGATATCAAACCACTTAATGTTTAAGCAGTCCAAACAAATCTTAAAACTATTTAAATATCACCAATACACAAGTGTTAACGGGAATAAGAAAATCCATATAAAAGTAATTGTTCACTGAATACTTACCACTTTACTGTAAAGATGTTGTATAGTAGTGTTAAGGTCACCCTCCCAGCATTTTTTACCGTCATACCAAATATGCTCTCTTTTGTCTAAGTTTGGTGTGCTTAAGACTCCTCCAGAGAATGTGTTCATATTGGGGCATTTAACCACCTTTAAGACTTCCAAAAATGGGAATTTGAATGTGTAACTCCCAGAGCAAAAACTTGTGAGACTTTTTAAATTTTCAAGTCTCAATGACGTCAATTTGTCGAAAACAATTTCATCATTTTCTGTATCTCCCTCATTTGATACTACTTCTGTCATCATTCCACAACCGATTATTCCCATTTCTTCGAGTCGCACAAGACTTTTGGCTGTTGAAGATGATACCAAGTTTATCAATCCATCGCACTCCCATACTTCTAGTCTTTTTAGACTTTCATAGGTTGCTGAAGATGGCAGTAGATTAATCAAAGTGTGGCAATCATTGACAAATAGCATTTCAAGATTTTGAATAATTGAGTCCAGATGACAGTCTTGTTTCCAACTGTCCTTCAAATTAAAAAGTCCCCATAGCTCCAATTGTTTTATCTGTGTGAGCATCCCAGCACATTTCTCATCTTCTCCACATGAAAAAATCTCTTTGTATGGACAGACTTTTAATATCAGTTTTTGGAGACTGTTAAACCCCTCAAGGACTTCAATTGGAAAGTGTGCTGAATCATCCTTAATGATCTCAAGAACTTTCACTTTGGAAAACTGATGTTTCGGAAATTGATCTTGCCATATAGACGCGATGTCCTCTCCACTTAGTGTGATCCTTTCCAAATTGGAGTTAACCTGAAGATCAATCGTATAAATCATACCAAAATTAATATTCTCCTTAACATTTCACACGGTATGTAATAATTTTATATATATATATCTTTTTTAAATCAGAAGCAAGCAGAAAAAAAAAAAAAAATTGAATGTAGACAAACTAGGTCTCATGCAAATAACAATTGCACTATGTAACTTTAATTTATGTCTAGTAAGCACGGAGCAAAGCCAATTGCAAGGCAATTAAGGAAATTGCCCATAGGTCTCCTCTGAATTAGGAAAAGAAAAATTTAATAACAATACAATGAATTTTATTATTTTCAATATATATTTTATTATTATTTATCTTCAATAAGTTTTTAAACTTCTACGTTTTCAATATTTATGAATTTGAAGTTACTCAGACATCTTGAACTAAAAAAAGAGAAAAAAAACTATTGATTTCAGATGATGTAACTCATACCTATTATTATCATGGATACCAATAATAGCATAACATTTCAACCTAAGATTATCTAGAATTATTACAGTTCTAAGCTTTTTTGTCCCACTCAAAAGTGAAAAATTCCACATCCACTCATTTATGGCTCACCATTCGCCTTAAAACACAGCATTTCATTCTAAAAGACAGCACAGCCATTTTGAAAATTGTTGAGGGCACCTAAGTAGTTTAAGAGGCAAACAACCCTCTTCTTCCTATAAATAAAGGCGAAAGCTCACTCAAATCTCTAACCGGCAGCCTTATTAGGTGAAAATTGAAATGAATCTACTTTTCCTCAAAATCTGTTGGTAGAGAAGAGAAGGTGCGGTGATGAAGGAGTAATTAATCTCGTTAATCATGAGATCTCCGCCGATGAGCGATGGCGACGTCGGAAGCAATCGTTTACGGAGCCCTCCTTTCCGGTGAGTAGGGCCGTCAATTGGTAAGGTTCACTCGCTTGTTGCGGGTTTCGAAAAAGCCGAATCCATGGCAGTTGAAGATAGATCGTTGCCGATGGCCGGTAATGGTGAGATTGTGGTTGTTGGCAACAAGGGGCAGCTTCATGGGCTGGAAAATGGGATGGGTGTGAATAGGGCCCAAAGTGTTTCTACTGGCCCAAATGGACAAGGCAGCTTTGGAGACAATGGGTCTGTTAGTGAAGTAAGGGTTAAACTGGGTCCGAATAAGACTAAAGTGGTACAGTTATAAGACTAAAGTGGTACAGTTAGTGTGGGCATGTTGATAAATTTTGTGGTTGAAGTTGGTTGTGGTGGCTGTGAATTTTGTGATCTTGTTAGCGTTTGGGTTGTGTGGGATATTTTTTTGTGTGGATTGCTGGTGCTGGGTGAGATTATCCGGGATGGATGTGATCTCTTTGGTGGATTTGTGGTTTGACAGCTCCTCCATGAAGCTGATTCGGAAAACTTTGCAGCAATGCATTAGAAGAAGCTATGTGGGACTAGTGGAAGAGTTTTGTAAATGGTATAGGAGGTTAAAAGGAAATTGCCATAGGTCTTCTCTGAGTTAGGACAAGACAAATTTAATGGTAGTACAATGAATATTTATTATTTTCAATATATATTTTATTATTTATTATCTTCAATAAGTTTTTAAACTTTTATATTTTCAATATTTATGAATTTTATTTACGTTTAAATTTTAAAATTTAAATTTTTTTATTAATAAACTTTAATTATATTGTCAACGTTTCAAGTTTGAAGGGGAATAAGAAAATCAATGAAAAAATAGTTGTTAAAAGAATACATACCTCTTCTTTGTACATATGTTGTATAGTTGTATTAAGGTCACCTTCCCAACACCATTCGTCTTTATCCTCCTCATCTTGTTGAACTTTCAATAAACTTGGTGTGTTTAAGATTCCCCCAGAGAAAGACTTCATCTTGGGACAATCTTCCACAATTAATTCTTTCAAAGATGGGAAGTTCAATGTGTATTTCCCAGGGGAGAAGCATGTGAGATTGCTTAAATCGATTAGTGACAACAACTTCAATTTGCTGAAAACAATTTCATCTTCCACTGCCACATCTTTCTCATTCGATACTATTTCTATCATCATTGAGCAAAATTTTATTTCCATTTCTCTCAACTGTACCAAATGTTTTGCTACTGATGGCGTGACTAAGTTCATCAATCCGAAGCAGGTACTTACTTTCAAAACTGTTAAATTTTCGAAAGATGTCGAGGATGGAAGCACATTTATCATTCTGTAACAGCCATTTACTTCTAGAACTTCAAGATTTTGAAGAATAGCGTCCAGTTTGAAGTCATTCCTCCACAAGTATTTCACATCAGAAAGACTCCTCAACTTCAAACTTTTTATCTGTATCAATGTCTCCGTACGTTTCTCATCTTCTCCACATGTGAATATTTCCTTGTACGAACCTTCTCTCAGTATGAGTTTTTCCAGATTATTCAATCTTTGAAGGATGCCAACTGGAATATTTGTCGATTTATCACCTTTGATCTCAACTATACATCTGCTGAAGAAGTTTTCTGGAAATTGTTGCTGCAATGTTACCATGTCGTCCACTCTGCTTAATGTTAATTCCTCCAAATTGGGGTTAATCTACAGATCAATTTGACAAAATCAAGTTGAAGTTGAAACTCTCTCAAACAATTCAACACATAAATATCAAGCAATCTATATATAAATGAGGAATATATTTTGAATCGATGCATTGGTAAAGAAAAAATTAGAGATATATTTATTAACAAGATATGTTTATTTTTTATGTTAGTTTATTTAGAAAAAGTTAAAGAAAGAAAAAAAGACACTTACCTTTTGGACAAAGAAGAGGGATTGTTGCTCCCAAATATCAAGTTGACCCTTACTGTTTTCATGGAAGCCCATATTTTCTGAAGTGAATATTTTTGTTTTGTCACAATTACACACTACCAACTTCTTTAATTGTGGCCATTCAGAAGTATGAACTCCAGGATAGAATGTTGCAAGTTCTGGTAAGTCTTCGAGTTGTAGGAAGGTTACTCGTGGAAAGATAAATGTAGGAGTTGCTTCTACTCCTTTCTGAATAATCTCCTTTAAAACCCTACAATTGCGTACCTCAAGGTGTTCAAGCCGGTCAAAGCTTTTGACCACAGAAGATGAAAATACACATTTTTAGTTTTTCCATTCAACCACAATCAGCGTGCCAAGTTTTGATAGCAATGAGATATTGTAGCTATTTGACTATCCCAGATCATTTCAGAATTACTGAATGCAGTTCTAAGGCCTCCAATTGGGGCACCAACCTGCACATAAAGTATTTTTTGGTAAATGAATACAAAAAACATTCGTAATTTAAAATATATATGTAGTAGGTTTATTTATTTTTTTTTTCTTTATTCATTGTCAAAAAGTTTTCAAAAGATTTTTTAAATAATGAAAAAAGAATTATGTTTTTAAATTCATGCGCTCTTGTAAGACAAAATTTATTTTTCTTATTATTATTAAGATAGAAAAGGATCGTACCTTATATTCTGAGTGAATATGTGCAGTCTGTGACAATTACGCACCTCCATCTTCTTTACATTGCCATTCTGAAGTGTGTTTACCAGGTAAAAGTTGTAAGTTCTGGCAAGTCTTCAAGTTTTACGAAGGCTACTCGGGAAAGATAAATAGCTGGCTTCTACTCCCTCTTCTTTGGCACAATCTCCTTTATTCCTTACAATCCTTATCTCAAGGTGTTGGAGCTGCTCAAAGCTTTGATTATTGGAGATGGAAATCTATTTTTATTTTGACAGCCATTGACAATCAAGCTTTTCAGATTTTGATAGCCACAAGATATTTGGAAGTTGGTTGTCCCAGATATTTTCAGAATTGATTGCTTTAAGTTTTAAGGCCTCCAAACTAAAATAACCTGCTCAAAAGTTTTGATTTTGTTTGTCTCAGTATTTTTACCATATGAAGTAGAGACACATAGTATATCCCTACCATTAATGTTATAAAGCTCTCTTTTGTGTATCAATCATGGAAATCTTTATCACCATATGCTATTTGATAAAACAACATACTATATCACCAAATTATATCTCCAAAGTTAGTTTTAAAAGTCCAACATTGACAAATATATAGAATACATAATATGATGCAAGGTTAATATGATAACGAATTACCTTTTTGTTAAAAATTGGTGTGACAGTATCAACTAGCTCATCCTCATAATAGATTTCATTGGACTGCAAATTAATTGATGATTCCACTTGTCTTGTTGCAATGTTGAAGATGTTTTGCTTCTGAGTAAAGCTTGCATTCTTGAAGATTATCAGGAAAACGTAATTGAAAGAATTCAATCTTATCAATCACTTCATCTGTTTACTTGTCTTCTCTTTCAATAGCAAAAATCTCATTCATATTCTCCAGTCTTTCACTCTAATTCTTTGAAGTTGTGAAGGCTTTTAGCTGATTGGAGAATGAGAAGATATTTTCCAATTTAAGCAACTTTGCACTTCTATAACTTTTAAGTTGTAAAAGACTTGTGTGTGGTTGACCATGAACATATCTTCTTCAAGTTAATCAAGTTGAAAAGAATCAGACTCCAAGAGGGGGAAGGCATCATAAAGTATGCACTTGTGTTGAGTCAACATGCACATTTTTTAGGATTTTATGGACACGGAGATATTTCAATTGTGAAAACCCTGCTTGTCTAATTCATAACATCATTCTTGTACCCTCCAATTTGTCTAGCATAAGAATTCAACATTCTTGAAGCCTGAAATTGCTCTGGCCAATTTTTTATGACAGAACTGAATTTCAGTTCAACGTTCGTAATGAGGCCTGATCATCAAACAAAACTCTCATATACATGCACTTCCCATCATCACCATCTATGATCCCCGGACTATATCTAGACAACTCATCTCCTATTGATATTTGTATCTTTCCAGCTTTTTGGAAACAAGTCTTTTGGCAAAATCTTATCATCGGAAATGTTTATTTCTAAAGCTGTCAGTTGAGACAATGCTTCATTCCTCAAGTGCTTCACCTCCTACTATAAGCATCCAGTAATATACATTCTTCTAATCGCAATAAGCTGATATAACATATTTGTTGCGATAACTTGTAGATTTCGACAATTACTTAAATCTAACAACCTTAGTTGACTCAGTTACCTACTTCTCCTGTCAATTTCTTAATCTTACAGTGTCGCAAGCTAGAATTTTTAGGTTTCTCAACTCTCCAATAATTGTTATATCTGCAAAATTGCCAAAATTCAACATAATGTTTGAAGATTATTAAAGACTAAGAGACGACGGCAAGGCACCACCTTCATGGGAAGTAAACTTAGAACTTTGAGGTTACCATCCCTACAAAAAATTCCTCAGGATTTTGAAAGAAGAACCCTTCATCCTCATACTGAAAAATTCAAGTTCGGCAATCCAAACCTTCAGGCCAAAGCTCACTAATCACACTAGTATCAGCTAGCGAGATTTTTGAGCACTTTTCAATTCATCTTTATACTCCATTCCCTCTCCATGTTGTTTCGCTCAGTAAATCATGTTGATCTTTATATGCAATTGTTATGACAACTGCACGAACAACGTCATGCATAGAAAAATGTTCTTGTTTTGCCCACAAGTAACAAACAGGCGTCCTTCAGTTCACAGACAGACTTTCTAGTCTATCTCGTGCTTGTTCCAGCGTACAATAACTCCTTCAAGAATATCCAGCCCAAATGTATTGAACCGTCTGAAATGGTATTATCATTTACCATTAGACTACAAATTAAAAAAGTTCTCTTGAGTTCATCACCTTTTAGATAATTGTAACTCATGCTATCTTTGAGTATTCCTTTTCCAGTATCCCTGCAAACTTTGTTGGGAAGGCATCTTCAATTCCCGTAACGCATCCTTCCATTGAGATCAAGTCTCTTGTTCCTTAACGCTCTTGCTATTGTGTAATGACGATCGGCAACCTCTGCATTCCTTACATACGTCGTTTGGCAGATAATCCCGCTTATAAATTGTTTATCAACAACATCACCTGCAGGGGAGTTGGATTGCTGGTCAAAGGGGCAAAATTGTGACAAATATAAAATATGTAAAAATGTTGAAAATTCTGTAACTTTGATTACCCGCCATCTTTTTAAACAGGCTCCAAGCTTCTCTTCAGTTAAAAAACCCACTGGAATCTTTACAGAATCCATACTCTGTAACACATTAAGGTCTCTTGCTGTCAACAATACTTTACATCCCCCACGATCATTTCCACAAGGAATTGCGAGAGCCTCCAAATTTAATTCTTCCCAGATATATCTAAAATTACAAGGATTTTCTTATCTGTCTTCAATCTTGCATACACTTGCTTGCTCTTTCTGCCTCCGTCTCAAATTTCAGACTTAACTGATTTGCTAGTTCATCTGTAATCTTTTTAGTGTCGTTTTGTCAGATACCTCTACGAAAAATCACTCATCCAAGAGCTTTTTTTTTTCTTGGCTTGCTGCCCCAACTTCTTTGACCAGCGTTTTTTACCAATGCCACCCATTCCGTAAACCCCAATAATGCCCGCCTCAGCATCTTCTACAGCGTTCAACACACCATTCAAAGTTGAGAGTCTGGATTCAAATTCCTCGTAATCTTTGTTCGTAAGCCTAAGCCGAATGTCTTCACGATTGGTAGGAAGGAAACTTCACTGAATGTTTCTTTTTCCTGCAGGAATTCAGTTACAGCCTCCACCTTTTTCGTGCTTTCCTGCTATTTTTTGTAACAGGTGATCAAGTTGAAACATCGCTGTTTGTTTTCTCTGAATCAACTGCTCTGCTTCATCAATGATGGAATCCACTTTCCTCTGCCAGTCTTTAACCTGCTGTTTGATCTTTTCTACGTTGTTTTCAGCCGCAACAACCTTATCCTTCACCTCGTCTCTTGCATCCTTCAGCTTTCCAATTTCTTTTCGAGATTGTCAAAGTTGCTTTTGTAGTTGTACAAGTACATAAATTGACGCCCTATAGGAGCAGCTAAGCACTTTCCAACTTCTAAAACAGTATTCCCTGCAGCTTCTTCCATTCTCAACCCCTTACAGAAAAAATAGATCTGAACCCAAAAAAAAAAAAAAAAAAAAAAACAGAGAAAACAACGGATAACTGAACAAAACCACAATAACAGAAAAATAGTGACAAGGAAAATAACCAGCGAAATTTAGATGCAAAAAGTGTCCGATACAAGTTAAAATATGAAGTGATTTTGGATATTACTGCTTACTGAAGAGAAGCAGGGATCCAGAAGAAGGGAAGGAGTGAAAAATCTATGATCAACAATCACAGTAACAGTATGTTCAAGCAAATACAAGGAAAGATCTGGTTTTGGACTTTGTTTGGGGCGACTTAGCAGAAGAAAATGAAAAAGAAAAGTGTACTCAGAGATGTCTATAACAGAGGGTCGAAGTGATACAGGAAATTTGTGAATTGTGAATTTGTGATCTCATGTGCTCACTACTAACATTAACATGTGTGTTGAATGGTTCAAAACCAAATTAAAATTATTTTTGAAAGACTCAAAATGTTTTGTTAATTGTCGGTCAACAAAGAAAGCAACCTGCCAACAAACTTTCTGCGTTATTCAGCAGATACTATTAAATCACTAAATCT